AGAGAGAGAGAGAGAGAGAGAGAGAGAGAAAGAGAGAACGGGAACCCTAAGGGTCCAAGTATATAATAATCATATACTCTCTTAAATATTAAGCTACATAACTACTATCCTAAACCCAAGTACCTGATTATTGGGTCCTTTGGACCCTTAGGGGAAGAAACAAAAGCAAAAATACATAGGACATGTACAGCGGAAGAGCATAAGAATAAGAGACCTAAACATGAACTATTCAACAAGAAGTATTTAATACATATATCTTCTTATTTAGGGGTTAGGGTTGAAGGTTTTGGTGTGGGTATATTATGAACTTGTCTAGAAGTTTTGTTTCTGTGGCCGCTCTAGAACCGAGAACGACTGCACGGCATTGGTTGAACCAGCCTCTGGGTCGAGTGCATCTGCCTCCGTCGTCGCACCGCCCTGACAAGTGCTTGTAACAACGTCTTCGGGACTTCTGGATGGGTCTATGATAAATCGTTTACACATCTAGAAACGTCTGGGCTTGGGGTTCGATGCTTCGGGTTCTCAAGGCTTGGCTGGTTTTGCAATTCGGACCCTGCCTCGGGAGCTGCTGCAGCTGCAGGCACTTTGCGTTTGCTCTGGGTTTTTGCTGCTTTCGCTGCCGCTTTCTCGAGAGCAGCTGCCGCTGCTTTTGCTTTCGCTTGGCCTTACTATGCCGAGAATTTGGAACAAGAGCAGACTGTGTAATTTGGTGCCACTACCCCAATACAAACTAAGCTCAGCTCATTTGGCAAGCGCTTTCTGCGCTTTCTCTTCTTTGCTCGCAGCCTTTACCCCCTGCTGTTCCAGGAGCAGGGAAGCCTGAGCCTCCATCTCATCAGCATCCTGGAACTGGGCAGCAATGCCGGGTGGCATCACCGCTGTCGACGGCAGCAGTGGTTTGGAGTCCTGTGCTTGGAGGCCCTTTTGACTTAGTAAGGTGGGTTATGGGGATTATAATGGGGCTTCTAGGGGGTACTAAGTAGACTTACTAAGTCAAAAGGGCCTCCAAGTGGGCCATGTGGGATTCGAAAGATCGGTTGTGGGGCTGGTTACATCGAAGGAATCCTAATATATAGGCTACCTACCTACCTATAGTAGTAGAAGCCAGAAAGTCGGAACATCATTCTCCTCATGCCCTTAAGGTTATAAGGTAGAAGGGATCCTAGCACTAATCCTCCTAAAGCCATGTTCCAATTTTCTGGCTTCTACTATAGCTGTAGATCGTATCTATCGAGTCTATCTATCTATCTATAGAGTCGATATCGAAAAGACTTGTTATACATACATATATATATATATATGTAGGCCCGTAAGCAAAACTTAAACATATTTATCTATTTGAAGCCCTGCCCGGATCCTATCGAAATAGCCCCTAAATACCTAATGCACTTATCAACGTGCTGGAGTTGCTATACCTGACTTGCATATATATGAATATGAATGATCCGAGGTTGGAATGTAGGGATACGCTCCACATGTTATTGGTGTATATTATAAAGTATTGTAATTATGGGCTCCAAGCAAAAATAATGTACGATTTAGAATAAGCCCTGCCTAAGCCTTATCATCGCAGCCGTCTAAATACCCAAAGACCAACCCTCCTATATCAGTGGGTGACAGAAACCACAAGGATGTCCCGAAGCGCTGGTCCGCACTTCTCAGATCGCTCGACCTGTGCCCAAAGTAAACGTGGGATTTGTTGCACATCCACACTGACCAACTGGCCTCATCCAACTCTTCTTTCGTAGCTTCCTGGCCCGGACCCCGTCCCGAAGCTCGTGACAAACCGAAGAATTGGGATTGAAGCGCACGTGCCCTACCTCGTCGTAGTTGTCGGCTGCCTCTGCATCCTTCTCCGTATCCTCAATAAACTTATAAAGATCGCATAAGGGTTTCCTTGCAGCACTGTCGTCCTAGCCGAGGCACTGGCCGGTGCTGCAGCTGGAAGCGATTCCGCAGATGTCGCTCTGGAAGTGCCCTGGCGAATTGTACCGTAGGTATCCATAGGGTATTGGGTCCAACAGGCCTCGGATGGCTCACTCGAGGGCGTCTCTTCCTACCAAGCACCACGTTGTTTACTCAGCAATTGATATCGATGTGTTGAAACATCGAAAGCAGCAGGCAGGCCTCCCGCTCAGCAGTCACGGGCATACCCTGTCATGATTACGTACCACAGGGATCTGTGCATTATAATTAGCAGCACGTGTGTAAGCCGTTTGAAGACTTGCCTCGTCACTGTCTCCCTCCGTGTCATCCCCCTGAGCGCATGAAGTGCATGGGGACGCCAACTTGAAACAAGCGGATGCGCCTGCTCATCAAAGCCTGGCAGAGTGACGATAAGGTCCTTGAGGGCTTGAATCTCGCCACTCCTGCAAGATCATGCTGTATGTAGTATTTTGCAATATACAGATGCATCCCATATCCCAGCAACTTTGCAATATCCTGGCGTTTCTGGTCTTGCGCGTAAGTCGCACGCTGTAGGACACCAGCGCCCGCGCTCGTCCACCTTCAAGGGCGGCCCAGTCCTGATGCAGCAGCGGTAACGGATTCGCTGTTCGACTTCGTAGTGTGTGCGTGGTTGCTGACGAGCTGCTCTCACAACCTTCTTCGGGATTTTCTTTTTGCCCTTTGGCGGTTTCGTCACCAAGCCACGATTTCCGTTGATTTGCAGGAATGCCATCTCAGCTTCATGCAATTACATAATCTCTAGCGGTAGCGACTCTTGGTAGTCAGTTGATCGAACTGCAGGGAAGTAGCTTCGAACGTTTTCGGTGAAGGGAAGTTCAAGCCGTACTTGGCCAGGATATGCAGGACAAGTTTAAAATTGCATATCACCTCAGCTCACGGTGATTACAAGGGAATACCAGACTAGCTCATTGCATCATATGTTTCAGGGCCAATTGCAAGCTCGATGCATCCACTTCGTAGACCGTCCCGCAAGCAAGGGAGTTTTCTGTCAAATTAATGACCGGTGCATCCTGCAATGCAAAAAGAGGCCATCGCTGGGGATCCAGTTGTGTAGACTTTAAAGCCTGTACTATAAACCCAAGCCTCACTCTCGCGAATCGCTTCCCAATCGGTCTTCATTTCCAGAAAGACTTTCTCCAGCAACGAATACAGCTCCGTGACAGCGTCTGCTGCCTTCAGAATGGAACCCTGGGAAACCAAAGAAGATTAAGGCCATGCGTGCATAGATGACCCCATCAAATGCCTCCTTGGCCATCAGCTCGAAGGCAAATCGAGTCCAGGGACACACACACACACAAGGCTGTTGCAGAAGAGCCGTGCTACAAGATCAATGACATGAATCACTTCGAACACACCCACAGCACCACAGCACACTCAAGTTGGCATGCAAGTGCCAAAGCAGGGGTGGGGCTCACCGTCGCAGCTTTGTCTGCGAACTCGTAGCGACCGCTTCATCGGCAGCGGACGACATCAGGAATTACGAATTATTATTACGAATTATGATTGGGTTGCAGAGGCGTTTCGGGGTTATATTGGCAGCAGCGAAAATCCCATGCTTGGTCCGTCGACTCTTCGACCTGGGGCTTAGTGGCAATATAGTCACGGAGATTTTCTTAATACGATTGTCGGTGTACTTGCCATGCTATACTTTATGTACTAGTATACTAGCACGAGTACTACTATACTAAAAGCTACTACTAGTATATACCAATACTCATACTAGTACGAGTACTAATATACACTACTTATTAAGTACACTAGTACTAGTACTAATACTGCTATATCTAGCTATACTACTAGTATACTAGCACTACGTACTACTACTACTACTACTACTACTACTACTACTACTACTACTACTACTACTACTATATACTACTACTACTACTACTACTACTACTACTACTACTACTACTAGTATTACTAGTACTACTACTATAAACCTATCATATACTACTACTTGTTGCAATGACCGACGTCCTCAACATGCGATATAAACCTACATTTCCCGAGTCCTTCTCAGCAGCGCGCTCGTATGCATGCAAGTCCCGTTCCAGGGAACACGGCCGAACCTCATACATAAAGGGCCTTGGGATGGCCAGGGTTACAACCAAGTCCTTAACCCTAAACCACAACCCTAAACCCTAAACCTTACACCCAAACCCTAAACCCTAAACCAGAACCTTCAACCCTAAACCTTACTCCCAAACCTAACCCTAAACCCTAGAGCACAACCCAAAACCCTAAACCCTAAACCCTCGTAAGCCCTTAACCCTATAATCCCTAAACCCTGGCGAACCCTAAATCCGGGTCTCGGCCGGGTCTCGGCGGAGTCTGGGCCAAGCGTAAATCCTGAACCCTAAGCCCTATGTCCTAAACCCTTAACCCTAAACCCCTAAACCTTACAACCAAGTCCTTAACCCTAAACCAGAACCCTAAACCCTAAACCTTAGACCCAAAGCCCAAACCCTAAACCACAACCCTAAACCCTAAACCTTACACCCAAACCCTAAACCCTAAACCGTAAAACTTCAACTCTAAAACCTTAAACCCTCCTAAGCCGTTAACCCTAATCCCTAAACCCTGGCGAACCCCGAAAAAGGGTCTCGGCCGGGTCTCGGCGGAGTCTCGGCCAAGCGTAAATCCTGAACCCTAAGCCCTATGCCTAAACCCTTAACCCTAAACCCCTAAACGTTACAACCAAGTCCTTAACCCTAAACCAGAACCCTAAACTGTAAACCTTAGACCCAAAGCCCAAACCCTAAACCACAACCCTAAACCCTAAACCTTACACCCAAACCCTAAACCCTAAACCCTAAAGCTTCAAGTCTGAAACCCTAAACCCTCCTAAGCCCTTAACCCTAATCCCTAAACCTGAACCGTAAAGCTTAGAACCACAGCCGAAACATGTGTATGTAGAACAACACACAAAAAACGACATTTTGACACACAAAAAAAAGACATTTTTGACCCCAGACTCAGACTTGATTCTAGCATTTTTTTGGTCCGCGACACCCTCTCAAGCTCCGCAGGTTCGGAAGGTCATTGGCTTCGGTTCAAAGACTCTCAAGGCGCGGAGAGCGTTTGACAAGTCGGCGTCTTTCGAGGTTTTTGTCCAAGGCGTGTGGTTGGAGGGTTTGGGCATGAAGCTTTGGACAGATGGGTGCTAGCATGATGTGGTGCGTGGAAGTGTAGCAGTGTAGCATTCAAGTGGGACTGTGAACGTTTCGGGCAGCTGCTAGGGCAGGGAGCTGGCCTTGTCAGCACCTTTATCAGAACATCGAGTCAAATCTGGAAGGCCCGGAGGTACTCGGCGAATTATTGAAGACACACCGTGACATGGGTGACCATATTCGAAGGTTGACCTCTCCGAACAGACACGGTTTGAGGTTGGTCTTGCATGGACGTGGTCTCGTAGCCTGTTTTCCTTTCGGATCAGGCCGAAGATGTCAAAGCTGCTGCCACGGATGACCCGTGTTATGAGGAGCTCGTCCAGTTCTTAACGCGCAGGAGAATGTCAGGTCTTGGCAAGACAGAGTATGTCCTTACCGCGACAAGGCTTGCAGACACACAGACAGGCTTTCTGACCACAACGACAAGCTATTTTCTTACACTGATAAGGGTTTGGGGTCAACCCTGGCAGTGCGTAGCCGTGGAGTCTTGGCTATCTTATACAGTGCATGATTCCATGAGCAGCTTGCAGACGACATGATTCGCAAATCTTGTCCGAATTGGCATTGATTGACAGCGCCTGCCATGGGCGGGCAGGGAAATCAATAATAAGTTAGATCTGCGACTTTCTGCCTGCCCTCGAAATGGTTTAGAGCAAGTATTGCGGCAAGGTTTTTGGGGTTTCGAGCTTTTGATGAGTTTTAGGCTCTTTAGGCTCTGAGAATCGCAAAAAATGACTCCCGCAAGTCCCTCCTCCATTTCTCCCGCCACGTTATGGGCTGTGAAAATCGCTCTCTTCTCTCCCGCCACACATGTGGGAGCTACCATTTTGGGGTTTTTGGGCTGTGAAAATCGCAAAATAAAGATTCCCGCACGTCCCTGCCCCCCCCGTTCTCCCGGGGAGTTACCATTTTGGGGGTTTGGGGCTGTGAAAATCGCAAAATGGAGACTCCCGCGTCCCTGCCCCCCCGCTCTCCCGCCACACGGGGGAGTTACCTTCGATCTCCCGCCACACGCGCGGGAGTTACCATTTTGGGGTTTCTGGGCTGCGAAAATCGCAAAGTGGCGACTCCCGCGCGTCCCTGCGCCCCCTTTTCCCGCCACACGCGGGGGAGTTTCCATTTTGAGGGTTGCGGGCTGTGAAAATCGCAAAGTGGAGACTCCCGCGTCCCTGCCCCCCTGCTCTCCCGCCACACGCGGGGGAGTTACCCTCGATCTCCCGCCACACACGCGGGAGTTACAATTTTGGAGTTTTTGGGCTGTGAAAATCGCAAAATCACGATTCCCGCCCCCCAGTTCTCCCGCCACACGCAGGGGAGTTACCATTTTAGGGGTTTCGGGCTGTGACAATCGCAAAGTGGAGACTCCCGCGTCCCTGCCCCCCCGCTCTCCCGCCACACACGGGGGAGTTACCCTCGATCTCCCGCCACACGCGCGGGAGTTACCATTTTGAGGGTTTTTGGGTTGCGAAAATCGTAACATGGCGACTCCGGCGCGTCCCTGCCCCCCCAGTTCTCTCGCCACACGCGGGGGAGTTTCCATTTTGGGGGTTTCGGGCTGTGACAATCGCAAAAAATTGAGACTCCCGCGTCCCTCCCCCCCGCTCTCCCGCCACACACGGGGGAGTTACCCTCCATCTCCCGCCACACGCGCGGGAGTTACACTTTTGGAGTTTTTGGGCTGTGAAAATCGCAAAATCACGATTCCCGCGTGTCCCTGCCCCCCCGTTCTCCCGCCACACGCAGGGAAGTTACCATTTTGGGGGTTTGGGGCTTGAAAATTGCAAAATGGAGACTCCCGCGTCCCTGCCCCCCCGCTCTCCCGCCACACGCGGGGGAGTTACCTTCGATCTCCCGCCACACGCGCGGGAATTACCATTTTGGGTTTTCTGGGCTGCGAAAATCGCAAAATGGCGACTCCCGCGCGTCCCTGCGCCCCCTTGTCCCGCCACACGCGGGGGAGTTTCCATTTTGAGGTTTTTGGGCTCTCAAATTAGCAAAATGGTAACTCGGATGCCAAAAGCACCCGGAGGGTTCTTGGGGATGGATTTTGGAGCTTGAGGGTCCGTGGTAGTGCCTGGCTATTTTGCATCTTATTTGATTCAATATGGAAAGGAATGATCCTCTAGATGATCTTCCCATGCAGTTTAGACGACATCCTGTAAGTCCTACTCCTAGTCATTTCTCTGCGATCACGAACACTTCTTATCCTGACCCGAACCCCAAAAATCAACAGCAGCTTTTGGCATGCTGCGAAAAGCAGGTGCCTGTGGATGGGCTTTTGTAGCAGCAGCAGAAGCAGCAGCAGCTGTAGCGGCAGCAATACCGGTGCTGATGCTGCTGATGTGTCTTGCTGCTGCTGCTGCTGCTGCTGAAACCTTGTCGTGGTGAGGTTTTGATGCCTCGTCGTGGTGAGGTTTGCAATGCGCTGGCGTGGTGAAGTTGCTTTTTGTTGTGGTTTCGATATTTCTTGTTATGGTGTGGATTCTATTTCTCTGTCATGGTAACAACGCGCTCTCGGCAAGAGTCTGCTTATAGCACAGCTGAAGGTCAGAATCTGCGATCTCCCAGGAGTCAGGTCCTCAAGTTTCGGACCCTCCAGCTACATCCCACGAACTCATGTCAATGTAGAGGCTTCGCCAGTCATGGGCGACGAGTGCACGGGACTCCTTGGCCAAGGCAGGTTGGAACATAAGACGGGCAGTAGAGCTGACGAGGACTCTGTGTGGTTTGATTGATACGCCTTGATGCTGCAATGGGAATCACTCCACCAAATTGTTGTGGCAGTCGGTCGCCGATGCATACATCCGAGCTCCACAAATGAAGCTGCAGTCTCAGCCCCGCTCACTGAACTTTGCCTCGGCATGCTTGTATGTATGCGTATACATGTGTATTACTCTATGCACACCTGCCTACATACATGCATACGCAAATTAATGCCACAGACACAGACACAGATAGGTAGGTGGGTAGGTAGGTGGGAAGGTTGGCAAGTAGGTATGTATGCAGGTGCGTAGTCAGATAGAGAGACGGATAGACAGAAAGAGAGACAGATAGATACATAGATAGATAGTTAAGTTATATGCATACTGAAGCTTCGCCGAGGCCATGGTTTGAGACGTTTTGACGGCAGGTGGCCAGCATCCGAGCTAGCCGAGTTGTACATGCCTGTCCTAGTCTTACGTGTTTGTGCTGCGCAGGTCGGTGCCACTGGTGCCGAGGTCGAGGCATTGGGGGCTGATGGCCAGGAACTGCCAAGGCCAGACTGGCGGATGTGGCGCCTTCACTCGCTGCAAAAGATGGTCTTGTCTCCCGAGTGCGCATCTCACTCTGTGACTGTTGGAGATTACCTTCCGAGTGACGTGAAGGACTCGCTGTCCTGAGGCTGAGCCCCAGCAGTCGGATTTTGTCGTGCTGTGCTAGCTGCCAAAGCATGGAGGCCGGGTGCGATGCCATAGAATAAGGGACGCATTGCGAAACAAGAGCTCGTGGACAGGAAGTGGCAAAGGTCGTCTCGACCATCTGCGAGAAGCTGGAGGGTCGCGCGGACAGCGGGGCGTCTGCAATCGCTGCCCAATTTCTGGACGAGGCCTTCTTTGCAACTGCAGCTGTGAGCCCACTGGCGCGGTCGAATTTTGTGAAAGGATGGACAGATTCGCTCAGACTGCGAACTGAGCGATCTCGGCTCGGTGGTCGTGCAAATGGCATGGAGAGGGAGGCCATCAGATCCTTTATCGACGGCTGAGGTCCGAGGCCTGTTTTATTTCAATGAGCAGTTGCCCGCAGTATCAGTGTGCAAGGTGCGCGTGGTGAATTTGATCCCACAGAAGTCACTCAGCCTGACTGCGTTCCATGCATGATTGCAAGAGGAAGAACGTCCTGCCTGTTTTGGGCTTTGCGCCACCCGGAGCAAGGCCAACATACGGTAAAGGGCTATCATCCAGCAGTTCCGCACCACCACCTCCAGAGTCGGAACATGGAGGCACTCAGCTCGAAGTCAGTCGCTTTCGATGTTTTGGGCAGCGGGTCAGCAAAGCCTGCTACAGGATATCCTGGTTCGAGGAAGCTTTGAGATTGCGATGCTGTGTGCGCCTGGGGCGCAGCAACATGCGGGCCAGCCGCAGCTTTCTCTTCTTGGCTGCGGGTTGATATGGATACACAGGTGGTCATGCCAGAGAGCAAGATCCCGCAGGCAGCCGTCAAGGTGGAGAGTATTGACAGATGCCAGGCCAGGCGGGAGCGAGAGGAGAGGAAAACCGGTCACATTCTCTTGCGTCAGAGGTGCACACATCACGGGGTGGCTGGTGTACACTGGCTTTGCGGACTCTCGGCAGCTTTGCACACGTTGCATTCTGACACTTTGGAAGAATGGTTCATGGTGATTGCCACTGAGGCCTGGGGAGCAGGCAAGGCGTGGGAGAGCTGATAGTGCACTACTAGATGGTCAAAAATGTTTACGCGTCCCGAAGCTGGCTCTTTTGTGTTTCGATTTGCGGGGGCCGGAGCCTTTGTTTCGTTCGAGAGTAGGCATCACCTGGTGGCTCCAGGGCTCCAGTACACACACATACACACACACACACACATACACCCGCACTGGCAGTGGTGGGAGAGTTCTGCCAAAGGAATTGCCCGGGCGAGTTGCTGAAACTGTCGCTACATACACACACACACACACACGCACACACACGCGCACACACACACACACTACACTCGCACACCGCACTCGCACACCGCACATGCACAAATCATACACCCTCATAACATCCACATAAGCAATGACTGCAGCACTCACTCACTCGTTCACTCGCTTCATTCACTCCCACACTCATTGACTCTTTTGCATCTTTACGTTGTCTGTGAATGGACAATCTTCACATGTGGGGTTATCCGGTCCTTTAATTTTGGTGTTTTCGTTTAGAATCTTCTGTGATTGAAGTAGCACAACAGGAGAGCATACGGAAAGTAACCTAGAGCAGAGCCCAAACCCCAAAACCCTAAACCCCAGGGTTCGGGGTTTAGGGTTTAGGATCGCGGAGCATTGGAAACATGGCGTCCTTGGTGACGGACACGAAGTGATTCTCTACTATTGGAATACCAAATCCAGCCCTCAGTTTATTTTCAGTTTTTGTCGGAGCGATGCAAACACGTGGATACAAACAAGACTAGCAAAACAATAAAATTACATGCCGAGGTCAGGATACCTTGGACTTTACTTATTCTCAGTTTTCGTATTCTTGCATGTTTGTTGGTCAATGATTATTAAGCAGTGCTGTCTCCGTAGCCCCAACCCTCCTGGCACATCCTTGTTGCGCGCTTCCGCAGGCTATTGCTGCAACGACCCGACGCAGCCCCGTGGAAGAAAGGCTGGTGGCACTGGATGCGGAAGCAACGTGGGTCGTACTACGGCTACTATGGTCCTGCTGAATCTTGCACCATTCCGACGTTCCCTCAAAGGCCGGTGCGAGGTACTGGGCTTGTCGAATGGATAAGTTGCCGTAATACATTCGAAACGAGTGGCTCATGGGAGATCCGGCAGTACGACGCCAATGCGACGCTCAATCCCAAGGGGCAATTCTTACGCATGGAGGCTGCCACTTTCCGTGCGGACCGTGCTGAGCCTTTGCCACGCGAGCAGGTTTTGTGTGTCATTCGCCCCTGGGCCCCGACGGCCCTTTGCAACAATGGGCGCCTGAGTGTCTTTGGTTCCCTATCCCGGGGTGCCTTGGGGAAGGGCTGCGAGCCTCGGGAGCTGCAGTACTTCGGGCAGTACAGGTAACCAGGCCAGCCTTGAAACATGATTTTGTCGAAGGTTGATTCCGAACAAGAGGGAATTAGGACAGGTTTATAGCAACCCAGGTATTCCCTTCTGCTTTGCTACGGGCCCTCGGTCTTCGCGACGCAGGCATTCCAGGCTGCTAATCCGACCTGCTCGGGTGATGGCTTTCCGAAGTTCCGCCAACGATACGTTTGCAATCTCACGGCCGTGAATCCGACTGTGCAAAACCTTGTGACTCAAGACATGTTCGAGCTGCAGAACCAGGGCACTGGGTTCGGTCCAGCAGAAGGTGGGCGGTTAGTGTCGTTTCTGCCCGTCACTGGTGAACAGACCGAATGCTTTTTCGAGACGGCGGACACTATGAGCTGCATCTTCGGGGAAACGTGCCTCATCGTCGAGAACTCGAAATTGACAACTGACTCGAATTGCAATCTCCTCTCCTTCAACTTCTTGGGTGCGAGCGGAGGCTGGTGCAGCCCAGAGCAGCCAGACGTCGCAGGCAATCATGCGCCCCGCTTCTACGAGCCTCCGCCGACTGCGTACACCTGGTTGGGGAACTGTGCGGTGGAAGAGGATCTGGCGCAATTTGAGTTCGTCATGTGTCGATGCGCACTTGCCGACTCGACCTTCGAAGCACCAGAACGCCAATGTGGTCTGCTGTTCCTGACGGTACCACGCTTCGCTGCTCTTGGCTACGAAGATTGCCGGAGCTATGGGCTCGATGAAACCTGCTGCATGTCTCGAGTTTTGGGAGCCTACTCCTTCTACTCCTTCCGTTATCCGCTGCAAAGTGACTGTGACGAGTACCAAACCTTCAAAGCCAGGGTTGCGAACGGCACCGCCTGCTCCTGAAAAGCTGTCGACAAAAGTATACATAGAGCGCATCGCTGCAAGAGACAGCTGTTTTGGTCGCGCACGAGACGTTGACGGAGTGCAGGTAGCACATTGCCACTCCGTGTTTCGGAAAAGACGCGGCTGCCTTTCGCAATCCAGTGACCTGACCCGACCTGCCTTACAACCGCTTGTGACCGCTGGCCGTTGTACATTTGACTCAAGCTCATGAGCTACCAGGACAACCAACGCACCGTTCATAAAGGCATTGAGAAGCGGTAACTGAATAGAGGGGACTTGTTCAACACCTTTTTCGGAACAGGCCCAGGCCTGGGCGAAGCAGCAGCCTGCGCGGTCGGGAGCTAAGCCAGCTTTGGATCTTGGAGGGGGCACCTTTCGAGCGGCAGAGTGCACGTTTGTCGAGCCGCACGAGGTACAGTATCCAAATGTATCCAAAAGTCTGAACAAACCCAGGCCAGAGCCGGTCCGCATTCCAGCAACTATGTCACCTCCAAACGTCACCGCGCAATACAAGCTTCAGTGGGTTCAGCGATGTAGTCCCTCATAATGGGTTTGCTTGGCAAATGTTTGGCGGAATGGAAGCCTTGCGTTGCTGCGATGGTCTCCTGTTTGTCAGTGTGCCTGGCATCGGATATCTTCGCAGCGATATCTTTGGCTGCTGGCTTGTCTGGCCAGTTCTTGCTTTCGGCACGCTGATGTGCTTGGGCTGTGCAGCGGCCACTCGACGGTGCCCTTTTGCCAGCGTGCTGGGGATGGTTTGCCTTGCATGCGCCTGTGCACGCAACGACCCACTGCAAGGCGTGATTGACTACATGGTGAGCTCCCGTGACGAACTGATGGTGCGGACGGATTTTATGTACAGGCAAGGTTCGCAACGGCCGCCCACAATCAACACAACAACGGTGCTGAGTAAGTCCGAGTGCGCGGTGGTGTACGATTCAGTCATGGAGTTGAGGGACCTGTGGATCCACGTGGACCATCTCGCAAAGTTCACGCCGTTTTTCACCCTCGGAACGTATTCGGGGTATGTAGCCAACGATGTGCCGTTTGCTTTTCCCCACGGCAGCTACACGGTTGGCTTCACAACGTCCTTGCTTGACTTCGGTGCCGCCAAGGCTGTCGCGGATTCGGCTCTGCGTGACCGCTTTGGGTGGCTCTACAGTCGTTTGCTATCGTCGGCAGGTGGAGTGCTGGGTGGAAATGTCCGGTATGCAGCATCAATGAATACCTCCCTACCTGGTTTCCACATCATTTGTAGCCACCGGGCATTTAGCCTGCCAATCTTCGAAACCCACCTTGACGGTTACGGTGAGCGGCTGCGAGGTTTCAACTGTGAGGAAGCATCGCGGGCTTCCTTAACTCTCAGTGTTGACCTCAGTTGTCCTCTCAATCTGCTGACGTTTGGGGTTTAGGGTTCAAGTTGCTTGATGAACTTTCCCAAGTTCCCTTGCAGGCTCATTGGTAGCGAACGAGAAGCTAAGGTATCCGCCAGCCCAGTGCCGGTAGTGGACTAAGCTACGCTGACTTTAACTCGAAGCGCTGTGGCCATCATCTCGACTTCTATGAAGCCATGAAGGACAACTGCTCAAGCGTCAGGTACCATGAATACCGCGAAGGCATCTTGGTCATACACGACGGGCCCCTGGTTCATGCAATCTCACCTTGGCCCTACTCGTCGGCCAGCGACTGCCGTGTGACCCTGCAGTGTTTTGCAGCCAGGTGCAAAGTAAGTGACACTGAGTCTGAGTGGCTTCTGTTTTGGTAGACTGCGCGCTTTGCAGCTTGTAGGAAGCAAAAAGCATCCGGAAGCTCGTGAGGACGGCTGGTGTGATAGGTCAGGTTTTTCAAGCTGGGATCTCGGGTCCGAGCGGAGATGACTGAGCTACTGCATCTAGATCTACTTGTACTGGTACTAGGTCTTGTTATTTACTCGACTATATTGTCCTCTAACCTGGAGCAGCCGGTCTTCGGGCGGCACTCTGTCGCCCAGCCTCTGTGTGCCCTCGCCCGCAGAAGCGTGGTTTGGGGATTCGCCCCGTGACGCGATCGGCACAACTTGAGTCGCTTTTGTGTCGGTGCGCTGTCATCCCCCGTCCCCGAGACAAGAAGGCCGGTGTGGTTTTCCTTTCCTGTCGATTGAAGCTGCCCCTCTGCGCTGGCTATGTAGATTGCTCCAGCTATGGGCACGATGCTGCATCTATTGAGTTTTCTCAATATACCAACCTTGCGATCCCGACTTTGGTATCCTGTATCCTGCTTGCGGCCGAGCCGTTCGTGGATCCTGAAAAGAGAGCAAGCGCTCCAGGAGCTTAAGCCCCTGCTCCAAAGCAGCCCATGTGGTTTGCAAACACGAGTGGAGGCACTACAGATCTGACCACCACCTTGAGGTCTGGTTAAGCTGCTATATAGGCTGCTAAAAGATCTTCCTCGCCAGACTTACTGTACTTGCACCTCTTTTCGAACAGGCCCAGGCCTGGGCGAAGCAGCAGCCTGCGCGGTCGGAAGGTTTCTTTTCTCAGGCGCGCGCGGCTCAAGAGAGATAAAGGCTTCTTCTGGTGCAGAAGACATCAGCCATGAAGCTGCAGCTCCTCTTGTTGGCAATGGTGGCAAATTGCCTGGGCCAGTCGCTGGCTGAGCCACGGCTGCATTTGGACAACTTCACTCAAGAGCCGGGGCCTGTAGTTCGAATGAAGACGTCGTTTGGTCTCTCCCCCTGAAAGACTGCAGGACGTGGAAGTGCTGGGTGCATCGCATTTTCAGTGCACCTGCATCTCCCGGAGGCGAAGGCTCCCAGTGCGGTTCGGAGGTTTCTGGCCTGTTGCAGCTCCAGACGTCCGCCCAAAGCAACCTCTTCCAGGTGTTGTGCAACTGCAAGGACGGGATGTGCAGCCCGGGGGTGGGGGAAGGGCGGATCTTGGTCAACTGAGGAGCAATGCCTAACAAACTTAAACGATATTTGGAGTGCCACCCTGCACCTTGACACCAAAAGAGGAACCTCGAGGTTTCATGGTGCCGACACAGAATTGAGTCGCCATGTTGGGCAAGTGTGCCTGCTTTCCTGCGACTTCCACTTTAATAACCTCACGCTGTCCCGAGGACGGCTTGCGAGGCTTTCGGCCCAGATGGCCGCTTCGAATGCAGCGCATTGATCGCGAAGGTCTCTGCCGAGTTCCCGAAGATTCGCATGCCAGAGCACTTCGCGTCGCTGAAGCCCTCCTTCTGCTCCAAGCTGAAGACTGACCTCAATGCAGGTTTGCTGGCGGTCAGGGCCACTAAAGGTGGCCGTTGGAGTCTCTTGGAGAAGTCTCTTGGGGGGAACTCTCTTGGTGGATGCGCCCCCCGAAAAAAGTGCCGCTAGGGCTTGGTTGATTCGATGCTGCAGTGGCATCAATTCTGGTAGCATCAATCAATATCAATGGTGGTAGTCAGCATGGCATTGCATGGCTTGATTGCTTCGATTGTTGCGGTGGCATCTGATTCGATTTTGCGGTGGCATCAATTCTGATACCATCAGTTCTGGTAGCAGCAACTGTGGTAGTCAGCATGGCACTGCTTGGCTTGGTTGATTCGATTTTGCAGTGGCATCAATTCTGGTAGCATCAGTTCTGGTAGCATCAATTTGTCAATTGTGGTAGCAACAATTGTGGTAGCGCTAATTGTGGTAGCATGATTTGCGGTAGTATAACTATTGTGGTAGCATCAATGGCAAGGTCTGCCTGGCATGTTTTGACAGAGCCGGGGGGGGGGGCAGGGCTGGCATGAAATTTGCATTTTGCCAGGTGAAGTCGTTTCAGAAGGCATGTGAGTGATATTTGCGCGGAAGGCTCAGTGAGTGTGTGTGTGTGTGTGTGTGTCAGCTTGCTTGGTGATTGATTGTGAGCCCCTTGTAACCTAATGCTGCAGTTCTGGCTCAAGTTGTGCTATGTCGAGTGTGGCCCTCCAGCATCTCCCTGAGGAATTGTGTCTCGAGGAGCAGGGCCAGGATCTCCGGAAAGCACAGCAAGCAATCTACTTGCTCTATTTGCTCTGCCCGAGAAAGGCTGGTGATCTTGTGACACTTGCAGTACATTTCAGACAATTTCCAATTGAGAATAATTTGCTACCTGACATGTCATTGTTTCAATGCAACAACATTTGAGGAGATCTTTCAATCGGGTCAAAAGGCGGCATCAACAAACCAGAAGCCTGGATTCTGTCAGCCTGTAACAACAACGTTAGACAGCACTTTGGCAAAGATTCATGCAGCCCTTTTTTTTTGCGCTTAACCTTTCATCATTACAATTCCGTGTTCATTCGAGGCACAATCAAAGCTTGGGGATAGTATACAGCCAATTCGATGTCGGGAACTACAGCAGCAAGAAAGCAGACGCCTCAACGAAAAGTTCCGGTGACTTGGGGCGAGGCAAAGAAGAAGACGACTCGGACGATTGGGGACGCCAGTGGAAGGACCCCGAGAGAAACAAGAGACCACGAACCGGCTATTGATGCTACTGATGATGTGAGCTCTATTGACAACCCGAGCTCTTCGGCAGCTGCCTCCTGCTCCAACACTTCGAGGTCAGTTTTCCTGGGCGGCAGAACCTACGTTTGGCCGAAGAGAGTGGTGATCGTTGGTTATGGGGTTGCCCACCATGGAAATCGTCCATCACGTCAGATGACAGACTTGTTGGAGAGGTTGGACAAGGAATGTAACTTTTCTAACACATGGGAGGTTCGCTTGCAGCAGTCAATGCACGTGTCGAAGCTTCATGACATTTGTACATGTTTCATTCATTTCAGTTTCACTCAATTGACAATTGAGGGCAGTGACAGTGACAGTCATGGATGGAAGCCAAGGGAGGCCGAAGGAGGAAGGTTTGGCAGAGAATGTGGCCTATAGCAGCATATCATGGAACAGGTGCCTGGTCGAACAGGTGTTGCTTCATGAATCGAGTTGTATAATAACTAATTTTAATTTTAATAATAATTCACCCTAATGACAGAGGTGTATAGTCATCCCGCAGCGCTCAAGACGCTCCACTTCATCCTCAATTTTCCCGACAATTTGCTCAGGCTTCTCGAGTCTTTGAATGCTGAAGGTCTTGGAGGTTTTTTTTAGGTTCAGGGACTAGGATAATTATAACCTTCCTATGTGGTCCTTCAATTGTCAGGATCTGCTGTTCGGCGGGATGGCACAGGACGTGTGCCATGATTGCGTTGGTCATGGCTCTCTTCCAAGTCGCTGTGCTGAATTGACTCATTGGTCCAGGTGACACTCAATTGTCTAGTTTTTGTAAGTATATCAGCTGTCAGTGCAGGTCTGTGGCATCGAATGCGTCGCATGGTTCGACACTTTAGTCCAGAAGCACAGAAACAAAGATCACAGTGCCATCGCTGCCGATCAACAGCACATTATCGACTTCGCCAATGGCCATCACGTGTCGCTGAGCAGCTTCAGATTTTCGAATGTTGTTTTGAGGTTGTAATATGTAAATATTTAAATGCAATCCATGGTTCTGCCAAAGTGTGCATCAGGAAGCAGAAGCATCTCCTGCCGTCCATTGGTTGGTCGTCGGATGAATGGAAGGCAGCATTGCAAAATGCTTGGAACACATGGACCGACCAATTTGCAGGGCAGACTGATTGGGCTTCCATTCAGATGTGCCTGGACTCGAATTCCGCATTGATTTGATTTGCAGTCTGCCCTGTAGTGCCAACACGTACCACTTTGACTCAGGAACTTGACAACAAGAATGGTCAAGGACAAGCAGGAACATCCCGTGGACCAACCTGCCAGGACAGTTCAGAAGCTTCAGAAGCGAAATCAGAAGACGAAGTCAAGAGGAACTGCTGCAGCAGCAGCAGCTGGGAGCAACACTACTTTTTTCGCTTCAGCTTCAAGAATAAATAATAACATTTCAGTCACAATTGACATCCTCAATTGAGTGTGTGTGTGTGTGTGTGTGTGTCGTCTTCAATGCAAAGCATTTGAGGTGCTGCCAGATGCCAAAAGAGCACGAACTGCTCCGCGTGAGATCCCGGAGACAGATGTCGATGACGCCACAAGAGGGGGAGGTGATCCTGCATCCTCCAGTTCTGCTACTCCGGCTTTTGCCAGGCCACCAGTGCCCGCTCCAGAGTGGCTTCCTTCAGTTTGGACCAATGATCCAAAAGCATCACCAGCAAAAAAAACAAAAGCCAGGGCAACAGCATCAACAGACGAGCCAGGGGCAGGACCAAAAGCAGGAGCACCACCAAAAGCAAGACCGCCAGCAAAAAAAGGGGCATCAGCAGAAGTAGGGGCAACGGCAAAAACAAAGCCAGCACCTCTTACGAAAAGCATGCCTGCAAAGCCGAAAAAGCCGGCTGCAAAGCCGCCAAAGCCGCTCAGTGGTTGAGGTTGATTCTCCAGAGGGTGTGCCGGAACCGAAAGATCCGCCCAAGTCTCGTCCGTTACATCCAAGGGATGCACGTCTGGCAGCAACACATCCAGTTCAACCTGCCTTTCCTCCGACGGCGCCAGCAAACCCAACACTTCCGATGATGACGGCATGTGAGATGGCTGTTGGGGAATGCTTTCAGACATTCCTAGGTGGTGGTGCTGCACTGCCGAGCAACAGTTCAGCTCGATCTTCAATTGAGAACATGGTGTCGAGTTTGGCGAATGCTGTGTGGGAGAGGCTGCAGCCAAAACTTGTGGAACTTCAATTCATGTCAGCAGTTGAGCACAGTGTTCCACTGGCACCTGCCGGTGCGCTGGCGGACCTCACAGCGTGGAATCCGTGT